TGAATATTCATTCATAATGAACAGATATTGATCCAATTAGATCCAGGCAGCCAGACAGACGAGTATTTTTGTTGTTAATCATTTATGTCAGGAATACAATACACTGAAAAATGTAAAAATACCTTTTTATCATTCAGCTGGCTTGTTTATTGTTCTTTATTGTGTGCAAGGTGATCTGTGAAAATGTTTATCCACGTCTACCTGTATCTGTATTTGCAGAGAGCGGGGTAAACTCAACAGCAGTCGGGATCGCTGTGGGCTTTGGTATCCTGGCGATCCTTTTCACCATTGGCATTGTGCAATTCTGCTGCAAGCACAAATGCAAAAAGTGCAAAAACTGCTGCAAAAAAAAGGGTGAGTGGATCCATAAGGAGTCAAATTACAAAAAGAAAACCCATACAAACCCATGAATGAACACCCTTCTTCCAATAAATATTCCCTCATTTGGTGTTTTGATGATTCTGGATTCTGAGCTCTTTAACACTTTGGTCACAAATCATTTCATTTTGGTTGAAATCTGGTGACTACAAAGGCCACGATTCACATAATTTTAACCATTTTTTAAACCATTCAGTGAGGTGATCACTCAGAACAAGTTAGTATTGATTTTCAGTGACCCTTCACTCTAAAGGGACAAGTAGACTCAAACCATGCCAGCAAAATTCCCACCAGAGCATAACAGCCAACTGATCCCCTCACTGTAGGGGTAAAGCATTCAGGCCTGTCGCCCACTTGTCAAGAATATGGTGAAGAATGACTTATCTGACCACATCGCTTTTTTCCACATCTCTGTAGATCAGTGCTTTTGTTTTTTGCACCACTGATCTCTCAAATGTGCATTCATCTTTGTAATGAGGGGTTTATGCAATGAAACCCTACTCTAATATCCATCTGACAAAATCTGAATCCACTGGGCTTGCTCAGCATTTTATACATGCTACAGAAGATTTTATCCTAATTTCTTACTTGTACCATGCAGTGTGGAAGCATCTGTATTCATTGTGTTTCTCCACTCATTTATTATTTTCATTTAATGTCACCTGTACTTTCTGTCTCATGTCTTGTGGTATTGAGGTTTGGTTTTACCTGCTCAGGTTTCTGAGATCTGTCTCAGCTTGACTCCCCAATACATCTGAGGTGAATTAAATTTCCCATGCAACGAGCACTTAAAGTCCAACAGCAACATTGGATGAACACATGATTACTCTTAATAATCCAAAGACCTCTGTGAACACTTTTCATTCAATAGGAACTACTTTATACCTAGAACTTAATAGTCTATCTGGAGTGTGTCTAGACTTGAATGAATCCAGAGTTGCTGCCATTGAATTTTTAAATATATAATATTTTCCTATATGTGCTACATGCTCCACAAATATCATTCAGCTCTTTCATTTTGGAGTACAGACACAAAACTCAAAGGCAGATATCTATATTCTATTTTTAGTGAACTGACCCTTTAAAATACTTTACTATTAAAAATAACACTGGCACCGGACAACATAATTTAACATTAAAACAATATGATGAATCTGTCATGCAATTATCATAGAAATGCATATCCACTCTGTGCCCTTTTATTTCTCCATAGAGCCGTCACTGAAGGACAAAGTGCTCAAGTAAGTGGATTTTTCTTCACAGGCCTTTCAGAGCCAAAGTTTTACTTCTTTGTTCATAGTTGCATCATGGTTCTATGGGTAAGCTTGGTGTTTTTATCTCTCTATCTACAGAAAGGTTGGCTTAACAAAGTCCCCTCCGCCCTTCTCCATCATGAAATGACAGCCGACTTGGTGGCAGTTGATTCTGACAACCGCCCCTCGTCTGTCACTTTCCCACACATCATGTTTTCAGCGTGTATTTTTTCTCTTCCTGTTTGTATTTTGATGCTCTAGTTCATGTTATTATTTTTTACCTGAATACTGAGGAGGGAAATTACCATGTTATTTTATATTACTTCTTCTGTGATGTAATGCTTTCAAACCATGTCACTGCCAACTGTCAACTTTGACTTTCAGCTTGAAAACAAAAGTGCCCCCTTTGTCTTGAAACTGAAAGAGGGGCTTTAAATGCCACTGTGTATGCAAAGTTGTACTCTTATTCCAGTTTAATGTCCATACAAGAGATGCATTAAAAACAGTGTAGAATGCAATTTCACTTTTTCAGTCTTGCGATTTGTCATGAGAAGTGTCTCAGTTTGACATTTTGTGGCTTCGGGTGAAACAAAATTTAGGTGCACACACACACACACACACACACACACACACGAGACAGAGAAATGAACGCATGCATTTTGCTGCTGATGACAATGATGTTTGAGGTGAAGGCAAAATATCAACAGCTCAACCACAGCAACTCTGCAGATCAGTTTTCTTGTAAGCTGCAGGCGACTTCCCTCCAAAGTCACATATCTACTACCTTTTTGATACTTTCTATGGTTGGCGGAACTTAAATGTCTCATAGTTTTTCCTTTAATGAAACTAACATGTTTCTCTGTATCTGATGTTTTTCTGGCTTGAGCTGCCTACAATAAGGTGATCAAATGTCAACTACCCTTTTCAGTCAAAATCAGTCATAAATTAGATCTAAAAAAGACTATTTTTTTGGACTAACGGAAATTATTATTATATTACTGAAATTACTTCAGGCTGCACTCTAAAACGGCAGATAATCAACTTGGTGTTGCAGTGTTTAAAAAAACATTCTGTTCAGTTAAAGGTAAGAAGTACCACTTTCCTATGCTTGGGTACTAAAACCTTTCCTGTAAATGTTGCTCAATTATGAATCTCCATTTAAGTCCCATTAGCTTCTTTTAATCTTGGGGAAATTACTAGCTACATATTTTTTCTACAAATGACAGTGCAGTAGCAATTTAATAGCCTTGTTTTGATTCAATTCTGCAATGTGATACATCCAGTTTTAGTTACTACTTGCAGCTGTGCTGATTTGCACTCCCCCAAATATGATAATCTGCACTAACTTGTGCTGAGCTACTGGCAGTCACCGATCATTGGATATGCATGAATTATAGCACTCTGCCACAGACTAAAATGACAGATAATGCCAGGTGACATAGCACAGATCAACTTTTTGCTCTTGGGATCTTTTACTCTCAAAATAGCACACAGTGCAGGTAAACGGGCCAGGGCAAATAAATCCTTGCTGCAGAGAAGCAGATCATTGGGTGGCCTGGGATTACCCAACCTCCTTGGGTACTATTGGGCGGCTAACGCACAAAAGATTTTGCTCTGGTTCACCTCACCTCAACATAGTTGGTGCCAGTTAGAGGCGAACTCATTCCTCGTTCCACGTCCCTCTATGCACTAGTATGTGGCACCCTCCCCCTTTGTCTTGCAAATTTCACATCCAACCCCATTGTAACTAATACATAAAAAATTTGGACTCAAATCAGGAAGCAGTTTGGATGGCTCTCCATTCCCCAAGCTACACCTCTTTGTAACAACCACTTATTTGTGCCAGCCAAGATTGACTCGCGCTTTGCAGCTCTTGAAAATAAAGGCCTGAGATGCCTGGGAGACTTGTACATAGACGGACTGTTTCAACCAACTACGCTCAACCTTTGGACTAGGTAATACAGACTTTTTTCGCTTATTCCAACTTCAGGCTAAATCTTTGCCTAAGGGCCATGTCTCATTTCTCTATAATCTCTTATCACCAACAAATGATTCATCTGCAAATAAGAGTAGAGCCGACTGGGAAACCGAACTCCAGATAAGCATCTCGTATGCTCTATGGAAAAAAGCGTTGGAAGCTGTTAACTCCTCCTCTAGCTGTGCCAGACTTTCTGTTATCCAATTTAAAGTACTCTTTAGACCGTACTATAGCAGAGACAAACTCTTTAAACTTTATCCAGACAGGACTACTGAAGCTTGTGACAGATGCTCTCAGACGCCCTGCAATCTGACACACATGTTCTGGACATGCTCTAAACTGTCTAACTATTGGCAATCATTCTTTAAATCTATTTCTGACATCCTAGGTATATCTGTTAGTCCTTCGCCACAGATACAGCTATTTTTGGAGTGCCCCCTGATGAACTTGTAACCACATCTTTGCAGAAAAATGTTATAGCTTTTGCGTCCTTGATTGTGCGTAGAAAAATTCTCCTCTTTCCAGCCACCTTCCTTTAAATCCTGGCTACATGATTTATTATATAGAAAAATTAAAATGTGACTCTTTGGATGTATTGTTTACTGCAACTGTGAATCAATAAAAAATATATATATTAAAAAAAACACAGCGATTTGTCTGGTGTCAGTCTAATTACATTTTAAGATTTTGTTAACATCACTGCTTAATTTGGCAATTTATAAATGCCATAGTGTCCTGTTCTAATACAAACTGTCAAAGAGTTACACTATCATGGGTAACCTAGTAATTAACCTTTAAGGGGGCAAAGTATGCTCTGTATAAAGGGGTAGAAAACAGAAGATGAACTGTGATCTCCATTCCGATCATCAGTGGACACATCAGCAAAATCAGTAACATGTGATACTTTTTGTTAACGTTAAAGGATTAACCAAGTTGTCTCACTTCCCCTGTACTTAATCATGCACATGGAGAACTAGGTCCCGTGATTTTTCTACCACTGCCAGGGTACTGCTTCATCCCAATAAAGAGTGGCATTTACCCAACATCTGATGTATAGTACATTACTATATTACTATATTTAATATAAGTGTTGAGTGTCTTTTGACAATATTTGCTCTCTTTGCTATCAGTGTGAAGCGGGACTTTTTAACCGAGTGGAAGCCCAAAAGAGGAAGTGTTTTTGTCTTAGTTTAGAAGCCTGAAACCACCGCTCTGGTTCCAGTACAGAATCTGCATATGGGAATCCCAGCTAAGTACAACAAATGTAATGTATGTAATGTTTATTTTCCAGCAGGTATCACTTTGTTGTTTCAGGGGTTTCCTTGTGTTTTCCTGTTTCTTTGAGTCATCGTTTCTTAAATCAACAGCATCACTTGTTTTTGTTTTTTGAGTTTATTTTAATCACATGTAGCATGAGCAGTCACTTATTCACAGTAGTACACAATAAATAGTTTTTATTTCTTAGTATTTTATAAATATTTTAAACATAGGCCATGTCACTCGCAACGAGAACATTAAAAAGAATCTGTAACCAAATATCATTGAAAATAAGACTAGAAATATTTGTTCCTTAATTCTGCCTTTGTTTGACACCACTTAATATCAGAATATCACAAAAATAAAAACTTTTCAGAAACTTTACAGGTGAATTACTGACATGGGGTACCATTGTTAGCAAAGATGAGAGGCATGGAAAAATGACAAAATGTCCAAAAGCACGTAACTGTCAAACCGTTTCTACGCATTGCTCCCCACACCAGTTTCACTTCCGGCTTACTGCATTTTAGTAAGTTAAAAGTACACCCAGTGAGGCAGGGTTGAATATGGTCTTTGGCTTTATATTCTCCCGCTGTAGAACCTCCTGAGACTTCGACCAACAGCTATCATTCAGCAGCTGTGTGGTCTAACCTCTATTTCCTTCCTATGTTCAATAACAACCTGTTGCTTGCTCTCTTTTCCCCTACAGTTTCCCCCTTTCAGAGCATTTCTACTCCCCAAATACTAACTTGTGCTTCTGTTGCATGTTTCCAGCAGTGTTTTATGGGAGAAAGGACTGTATTCTTTCAATATAGCTCTCGTCTGAGATTACGGTCAGGGTTACGTCAGCATGATTCAAAAAATAGCATTCAGTCAGTTGTCAGCTGTACATCACAGAGAGAGAGTGACACATTGTTCATATTGAAGTCCTGTTCTCCCTCCACTAGGGGCAGTGGTGTTAAACCTGTTAGTAGAGGGAATGTGTCCCCCAGTTGTATCAAAGTTGTTTCTAAGTCATCCATCATGTCCATTTGTGTTGTTTTGGAATAACTTGGAAATGTAAGCACACCTTTGTAGGAGTCCACAAAGTCCCATTTGCCACTCAATAGTCTATTGTCAATACACACAGATCTGTATTCTTTGATAGCTCCTGTTCCAGATAAGCCTTGTTTATGGCACCAAGTGCACTGACCTGCTCCTGAGCAGATACACGATTGAGGCCCAGCCCTGTAGCCAGTGACCACCTCGGCCAAAACGGGATTGGGGAGCATCTGTTTAAACTCCTCATCATCAGAGACATTAATCTGCACAGCAGCGGGGCTCTGGGTGCGATAGTTACCCCCAACAACAGCCTGCTTTAGAGATCCACTGTCCTGTCCATCCAGATTCATGGAAGAAGAATGAAGCTGGCAGCCCAGCCCACTATCCTCCCTCTTCCTAACTGTGTCAGTATCAGTCCTCTCTTCCTGCAGGGGGTAATCTGTCTGACTGCTAGTCGAGCTCTCTGTGCCTCCCAAGCTCCCACAGCCACTGTCCTCTTGTCTTACTGGGGGGCTTCCTCCACTCTTTGTAGCAGAGTTGGACTCCATGCCGACCCCACTGTCCATGCTTGTCCTCCTGTCTTCCTCTTCATTGTCCTCTGTTACCGTAATATGGGTCACTGGCACTTTAAAACAGCTCTTCAGTTCTGTTTTGTTACTGGACAGGAACCATCCTTTGTCTGTAACAACCTCTATAGTCCCTTCTCCAACCGAGAGCGGAAGCCAGCCACTTACAGGAGATTTCTGAGGTGAGAAGAAACAAGACAGAGGTTGCTGTATTATTCAATGTTTTCTTAAGTCACTTTTAGGGACAATATTAGTTAGGACCAACCGAACCATCTCAGCAAGGCTAATATCAAGAGTGTGATGCAGGTGGGTATATACAACCAACTTTCTGATCTCTTTTTGTGTTTTACCAAACTTTATCAGGAGACAGAGTTGAGCGTACTATATTGCATATCTGTAATTCCTCCCAATATTTAATGTACTTACCAATGCAGTAGGTGTTTTCCCTGGAAGCCTCAGGTAACATAGGAGGATGCTTGCCATGAAAGCAAAGAGGGTCAGCACACCCAGAATAGATAGGGATGATACAGCAATGATGAACCATTCTGGTAGGTAAAAAACACAGGGGAACGTAAACTAAGTTAGATTGAAGATTATACAGGAAGCTCTAATGCCTGTAGTATGGTTAATATGAAGCTAACACTAAGCAGCATTTAGCTTTGCTTGGAAACAGAGAAACAAAAACGTGAAAGAAAAACATAATGTTGTAGTTTTATGGGGGGGTTATGTGCTGGATTTACCAAACAAGCTATAACTTCTGTCTTTGTATAGTTAAGCAGCTAAATTCATGTTTTTTGTTTTTTACATGGGCAAATAAATTGAATTAACCTAAAAATTTAACTCCCGGATTGCTGTTCAAAGCTGTTGTCCCTTAGTTGTGCATAACCATTAAACATCTTTCTTACCTTGCTCTGGTAGTTGCAGACACTGTTTATGGGACATGCTGCTAGAAGAGAGGGCTCCATTGCCCTCTACCTTGATGCTGACACAGTACTCTCTCCCCCAGTGGAGAGATTTGAAAGTCTTACTTCTCTGATCCTCCTCCTCATCATCTTCCACGTATGCTGTGGTAGTCTGTGGGGTAAAAATCCAAATGCAATGCAGGTAAAGGCATTGTAAAATATAGACCACATTGTACAATACAGCATGGGATGAGTAAACTCAGAAGTTCATTCAGGCAGATCAGAATAAAATATTGTTGATTTGTTTTACTCTGTCATTCACCTAACCAAAGCCCAATCAGGATTCACAATCAATCAGGATTTTCAATATAAATTGCAGGTACATTCAGAAACATAATTGTATATATTTGCATCAGCAATCCCATTTTTGGGATTCTTTTTTGGTGGAAAGGTTGTGCGTTGTCTCACATTATTTTGTGTATTGTGCCTTTAAACCTAATTCTGATGCCTACCTTATTATCTTGTCCTCTGTCCTCCAGGTAGATGGTGTAGGTGACCCCAAAAGGAAAGAGTTCTTTCAGAATGGCTTTTTGGTGAACATAAACTGTCAGAGTGCTGGATGTAGCCCACAAAGTGAAGGAGGGAGGCCGCAAATTACCTGTAGGAACAGAGAAAGGTAAGAAAACAACCCTATAGTGTGCATAAATTATAACTTAACCAGCCAAAATACAATGTTTTAACCACGCTACAATGACAACTATATGCTTACTTGTATTTGGGAGAAAATTTTTCACTGTCCACGCAGACACGTGACCTTGTTCGACCAGCTGGACTTTGACCTTGTAGCGAGTGCCATAGTTATCTATAAGGTCGGTAAGGTCACAGTTGGTGTTTGTGGTCTCTTTGCAGCTGGTCACCTCATACCAGTCACCACTGTACCTAGGTACAAAAAACATACCAGTCACCAACTGGAAGGAAAGGCACTGGTGGATGACAAATACAATGAAAATAAAATCTAGCATTTCAATAAAAATCTTACTCAACATTCAACAGTTATGTGTGGCAAATGATAAGAATCAATGGACAAACATAGTAAAGAAGGAAACATATTTTAAGTGGTTTAGAGGTAGAGGAAAAATGGAGAATGAAGGGGAAATTTGAATTGCAAAATAAAAGGAAGTTTGCGAACGGATGGTAGAATTGTTATGAACATACTTTCCCATTTGTACATTGTAGTGGGAGTTTGGAGGGGCGCCCACAGGATGTTTCCAAATTGCGATTACCTCCCCATCCACAATATCTACCCTCAGGTCTGCAGGCTTAGGGACTTCCATTCCTGCCACAGAAAAGACAAAGATGAATTATGATGTATATTCACAGCTCATTATTACAAGATCATTTAAATTTCTCCAACTAAAGTACAGTTTTATATTCTATGTCCAAGAGAGGAGACATTTGTATTGTACTGTAATGTAAAATCATGAATCGGGTCTATACACTGAGGAATTGTTGAAAACATTATTTTTACTGAAATGCATTGTGAAAGATGTGGTCAGGAGGAGGAAGTGATCTTTACAATCACGTATGGGATCTCTGATCGTAATGCCATTGTGGGGTTTTCATGAAGGAAAGGAGAAGGAGTTCAACCATTTCCATTCTAACTCTAAAATGTTAATTAAAACTCCCCATTTTACCCATGACACCTTTATGGTGGAAACCATATGGAAAATAGAGTTTCTAAAACATTTCATCAATTTTATATTTCGCCTATAGTAACAATTCCACAATGATGAACAAAAAAAAGTAAATGTCAAGTTAACGGTGGTAAAAAATACTTTAAATATAAAACATGATTAATAAAACTGATGAAGACTTAAGATACAGTGTAATAAAGTTGTAATAAAAGTTGTTAATTACCTGACACACAGTTTATATAGATAATCAGGAAGAAAAGAATCGGACCCATATTGCTTATATCCATTCTTGGCCTCTGGAGCGGTATTGTAATCCACACAGCACCCGGCAATAAAGTCCTGTATTGCAGTCATCAGTGATGTGAAGGAGACTGTAGAAACATCTTTTCTCTTCAACTGTGTAACGGTTCAGATGTAACAGTGTTGAAAAATGTTGGCAAAGTGAAGCAGGTGTACTCTCACTGATGTGATGAATGCTCATCTGTGGAAGAGCGAACAAGAGTCAGCTTGTGTATTTCCCTAATGATCTGATCTACATAGTTCCCCCACATACACCTTCCTTTCTTGCTCAACTGCCCTCCCTTCCACATGATGCGTTTCCTGTTGTGACTTGTCAGTGACGCTGCCGCTGGTTTCGTCTCTCTCTCTCTCTCTCACCAAACGTTTTCCTTACTCTTTTGCTTTTTCTTTTCCCCTTTCCACACTCTCAGCAGGTTCATGATGTACAGTGAAACTTTAGTGGGGTCAAGAAAAAAGCTGTTGGACAGTACAGGGACAAAAAAAGGGAAGTGTTCAGGGATTCCCCTTTCACTTTCCTTAATTGTATGCAGTAGTTAGAAAAAAGAGGCATTCAGGTGTTTTCATAGGGAATCTTTTTAATTCCATAATGAAAACCAGTAGCAGGCACACATCTGGTCTTTTTCTTTTTTTTTCTTTTTTTTCGCCCCGTCATGGTCTGTGTTCAGAAAACCTCAGTTGTGGTTGGCTGCACTGCAGGTGTTTTTTGCAAAGAGCAATGGTAGCGATGACTGTGAGAAGTTAAGTTACATATAAGTTGAGGTTGTAATTGAGATGTTTCTTCAAAGTAAGTTATAAAATTGACATTATACAAAAATGTATCTGCTGCTTGAAACACCTACTTCTATCTGTGGTATCAACAAACCACAATGATAATGGGATCATATCTTCCCACCTCATCTTTCTCATAAACACCCTAGTCACTGCAGATTAAAAGGAAATGTGTGAAATAAAGGTTATTGTGGGTGGATATAAAAGATAAGAGTCAAATTACCTAGAAGTAGTAATAGTAAAACCTAATCATTTTTACTTGAAATGCATTCAATCACAAGGATACAACTAAAGAAATAATGTGGACACTTTAAACAAGGCCTGAAACATTCACCAATACATCTGGATTTTCTCCCTATGTCTGCTGTATACTGCTCTTTAATACCGTAAATTGCCCTAAAACTAAAGGATGTTTACTGTTTAATCAACCCAACAATCTCTCTCGCCTCTTCTGTTTCCATTACATTAGTGCCATCCTCTACCTGGGTTTTTCTCATGACCTTGTTTAATTGCACACAATGTTTACATGTATCACGGGACATTTGTGTTGTCATGAAAACACCAAACTCTTGCTGTTTGCACGCTAACCTATGTTTTACTTTGTTTGAACTCTCATCAGTAAGTCAGTACTTGAATTTTAAAAATATACTTTCAATTCTGCGAAAGCACTTTTCTTTTAAATATGTGATCTCAGTTTCCCCTTTTTTTCTCACCTCCTAACATGTGACTTATAAAGTTTCAGTTCCTAGAAAATGCAAACACACTTAACCATGGACACATATTTTAGTGGTACCTTTTGTTTTCTGTCTCTAAGGCGAACAGAGAACTACTGAGTGAATCTGAGATGTGGCAGCTCCACTTAAAGGTCAGAGATCCTCTGCTGTTGCTGAGAAGGGGGGCTTTCCTCTCAGTGTTCTTGGTAGGCTAATAATTGAGCAGTGGCCAGTGGCTACATGTGCATAGGAAGAGGCTGTATGTAATAGCAGCCTCTAATTGTGATACAAGGCAAACATATCTTTGCAACATATACGACTGTATACCTGTGTATTAGCATATTATGTATTGTTCTCTATCTGCTAACATTAATGGTTACCTATTCTAACTTGATTTATGTGATAGGACAGTGACAAAGAGGAGATATGGGGAGAGAAATTTGGGGATGACATGCCACAAAGTTCCCCGGCCTGGTTCAGATCTGGGACACTGTGATTATGTGGTATGTGTATAGACCTTGAGGCTACCACAATGTCCTATATTCTTAATTTTGTGTTGTTCAGTGTGTTGTATGCGCACAAGAGCAGGTGCCCCGCACCTGGTCGCTAGAGTCACACATCCCCCTCATCACACAGAACCAGCAAGCTAAATTGTTCATGATAACCCAACCAACATATCAACATATCCAACATATCAGTAAGAAAAGTGCAAAAAATGCATACACTGAGAAACAAAGCTACTATAAGCAACAGGCACAGCATAGGCCGCCTTGTGGGATTTCCAGACCCTGACAAGTACTGATGAGCTAGACAGTATGCAAATGGTCAACAACAACAGTACAGAATAACTGTAATTAATTAACCCAAAGTGTGAAAGACATAACTGCAGGAATTTTCTGTAAAGCAAGTGATTTGGATGAGTTTTGAGCAGATTATTTCCTGTGGATATTGATCATATATTGTGAGGAACTTTTTATACAAATCTGTGTCTGTATTATGCAATTTTTAAATTTCCAATCACAGAGTGAAGGCTTTATGAACAATAATAACAAGCTTGTGTTTAGGTCTTTAGCGTTTTGATCCTTAATAAAAATCCCTACTTTACAAATAACAATTTCATTGAGTTAATTTCTTTATAAAAATGCTGAGCTATAGCCCTACTGTGTATATATTTCTTTTTTTTTCTCACACCCCTTAACATCATGAAGTCTTTGCAGTTCCCTGTGAAGCTTTGGCGACCCATAGTGGTTGTCCTGACCCCCAGGCTGGGAACCACTGATGTAGAGGATCTCAAGTGACAGAAACTGAAAAAAAGGTGAATATGCAAACTATTAGGGGCCGAACTAGAAAGCATTTGAGAAGTGAATGTAAATGAAAAGACAGAGGTGGAATAATAATAAGTAACATGTTAAGTCAGTGTGCAGAAACTTACCACTGTAGGGAACAGCTAAGGTGTTGTGTAGAAGAGTACCACCCATGAGTAACCATTTTAAAAATATCACATTTACAAATACGCACACAGATGAATCATTAGCTGTATTTCCTGGATTCAATGACAAAGCTCTTTTTTTATCCAGCAGTTCCTTGATGCCTAAAGGCCTATTGTGATAAGTGTGTAAGATGTACAGATATGAAATCCATTATTAAACTGAAATATTGTAGAAATTAATTGTGAAAATGTGAAAAAAAAAAAATGTAAGTTTTTGTCAGTTTTTTAAGTTTTTGTCATTCTCTGTGGATAGGAGGACATTTTGGTTCAGGGCCCTGACTGCTCAGTTACTGTCATTTGAGCCATCATGGAGCTTCTTACTGTAAACAAGCTTTGACAGTCTTTGCCCCGAAACCGGTCTGGCAGGTGGGAAACTGGTGCACTGGGTGCGCCTGTTTCTGTGAGGAGAAGAATGAAAGATTGAGAGAATGATGGAGGTGGGAGGTGTTAGACAGAAGAGGGAAGGCAGATCTACCTATTTGCTCGGATGAAGGTGAGTGGCAATCACACAGTAGAGTAGAAGGAACAGGAGAAGAAAAGACAGAGGAGAGTAGAGGTGTTTAATGTGGCACCACCATGCAGTAACTGCTGCTCTGTGACTGAGTAAACGCCTGGATGTGAAAAAGCTCCACCAACCTGCTCTTACCTCCACTCTCCACTCTCTGCTGACCTGAGTCCGATGGCAAAGCATGACCCGGTAGGTTCCTCATTTTTCTTTCTCACATGAAAAAAATGCCTTCTTCTTGTTACGGTGTGTCTCTTGGCCTCTCTTTGAATTTACCTTCCACCAATTAATAGTGAAACTTCCTCCTTGGTCAATACTCACCTGCCATTCACCTGAGTTTGAATGGTGGTTCTTCTTTTGTTCTGCTTCTTTGTTTGCTCAGTTTGAGTTTCAATATTTAGTTTTGTCTGTTAATCTGTGTGACCTCCATACACCTGAAAAGTGCTGTTCATTACGGGTATTATAGGCTGACATTAGCGGTTTTATTTGTTCCATTTACCTGCCCAACAGCATTATATTGTAATTCTATTATCCCCACAACATCAACTTTTAATGAGCTAAGAAAAAAGCCATGTTTTCAGCTTTGTGACAATGCATTTTTCAGATAATCCAGTGTGTTTTCAATGGTTTGATTAGGTCAGGAAGTAGGAGAATGTATTTCCACTTTCACTGGAACATCAGTTTATCGGAATTGGATTTGATTTGGATTTGGGATGTGTCTGCAAATTTGGAGATACATGGTTTTCACTGGATATCTATCTCTACTCATGACACCTATTGCGACATAACATTTGCCAAAAAAAACATTTGCCAAAAAAACCCCCAACCCTGTCAGAGTTTTTTGTGGAACGTTTCCTTATCAAATATTGAGACTTGACTAGCGATAAGCACACAATGCATTGGATTTGCAGTTTCAGTATGTGGTTGAAAGAGGAATATTTCAGATTGCTTGTGGTTGCCGTCAAGCTCAGATCACTTTGTCCTTAAGAAATGCAGTGGCCTGTATGTGCCTTGATTTATTTAAGGTCCTGCAGTAAACATAAAGGGACACTTTAGATTTCCATTTCATGTTGGATAGCTTTGTAACTTTATATTATCATAATTACTGTTAGAGTGAAATATTGACCTTTTAAATGTCATGTGAACCCCTAATCTCTTAATTTTTCTGTATTTTTCCATGATAATGGCCAATAGGCAAACTATGCAAGATGATCCAGGAGTACTCTGCTGGGAAATATGATGAACCTGCTCCTCCACCTATTTTAGCTTGGCCATTTTACTTCAATTAAGTGAGGTTTATGCTGCCTATAGGCATATTTTGAAACTTGATCAGCATGCAATAGAAATGGTCTTATGAAACACCCTTTGTAGCGAGTCCACCCATTGCTTTCTCAGCGCCTCCTGGATGGATTAATTCCTTTCTTTTTTCGACAAAGGATCCCCCGCCCCCCTTTTTTAGATTGTGTGCAGTGATGAATAAAAGGTCACAACAGTTATGGAGATCCTCATTGGATGGTGGCGACTAAATCTTAGCCTTCTCTGCACCCGTGGCAGATTTGGTGAGGTTCCTGCTCAAGGCTGCACTAAGACTACTTTGACTGAAATTAAAAAGGCAGTAACAGATGACCGACCTCACACCTGTGGATTTCAAAATTCTTTTAGCCCCATCTAAATTTCTTAGTGCCGAACCCTCTTTATATATTTAGCTTTCGATTTGTAAGAATAACAGATGGTGATTACATA